AGCTGAGCGAGGCGCGGGAGCAACACCGAGGGTTGCGATCCCGTTGCCGGTCCTGGTCCGGTACGGGGACGACACTGAGGGTTGCGATCCGTTGCCAGACACGGAAAAAGACAAAAAGGAAAAAAAAAAAAAGAAGAAATGGGAATTTCAGACCCACCCCAACCTGCTGAATCAGAATCCGCATTTTAACAAGAGCCCCAGGTGATCGGGTGTATATTAAAGCTAAAGACATGTGACTCTGCAATCTATCAAGCACTGAAGCTTCATTTAGTTGACCATATTCTTTGGGGTAGGAAAAAATTTACTTCATGGTTATTATCAAAAAGCATATATTAAGCAACCTCATTGTATGGTTGATTGCTATAAAGTGAGTTATAAACTGTTCCACAATTTGTCTAGGAGCTTAATTATAATTAATTGTAATGTACCATTAGGGAGTCTACACAACATGGGTTGAAAACAGCACTCTGGTTCTTCTGGTGTTTCACCCGTTTGAAACTACAGGGTAACCCCTCTCTTGTCAGGGGTCAAGCAGGAGGCAGCAGTAAACCCAAGTTCAGAAATTAGATTTCATACCTATAATAGGGTTGCCAGATTTAGCAAATCAAAATACAGGAGTCCCTCCCCAGCAAATTTTAATTTCAGATAAAATGATTAATTTTTAGCATAAGTATGTCCCAAAACATTGCATGGGACATACTTATCCTAAAAAGTACTCATTGTTTATCTGCAAATCAAATTTAACTGGGACTCCTGTATCTTCTCTGGCCAACCTAACCCTTAACAGTATTGTCTTACCAAACAAATGAAGTTAAGGACCTCTGTTTTCTCTGGTACACGTGGAGGTGAGGGCCAACGTGGATGGATGGATAAAAGATTTCCCTGGGGGGTGGGGGGAATCTTGCTACTCAAGGCTTCCAGGTTTTTCAGATATAACCATCCAGGAACGAAAGGGGTACGTGAGGGTAAAGCACAATGTCTATCAGATACTGCCTCTTCTAGGAAACAGGCCCTCAGAGGAGTCCAGGGAGGACTCACCAGCCTTCTGCTTCTAACCCCTAGCTGCTCTGGTGGACCACATCCAGTTTGGGGACTGCCACATCGGAAACAGCTATAATGTGAGCTTCACAATCACTAATCACAGCCAAGTGAATGTGATACGGTTTCAATGGCCCCTTTTAGCTACAATTACTTTCTCCCCACAGGTAAGTGAAAGCCATTCACTGTTTCCTGGACTCCCTTAGGTCTGAGCCACCCCAATCTGATTGCCAGCCCATTCCCACAGATGCATGAGATGGGATGGTGATCTGCAGCTGGGGGACAGCCCAGGAACCATCCCTCACTCAGACTTGATACCAGAGGACACTGTCCATGTCCTGCCTGGTCTCAGAGGGGAAGGGCAGAGAATGAGGTCTGCCAAGACTGCTGCTGGGCTGATGTTGAGGAATTCTGTGGAGGCCTATATGTAGATATACATCTAGGTCCCAGTCTTCCTGTCACAGACTGTGGATCTGTGTCCCCCTAGGTTTGTGTTCTTCAGAGCCCGAGTCCTTCAAAAGTGGTTCACCAAAAGCTACATGGGGGGAGAGGGGGTTGTTCTGTGAACAACTGAGATTTAGAAAATGGTGCAGGAGGCATCCGTCACGTAAAGATTCCCCGTGTTCTTCGGCATATTAAAACCTAGTTAGCTTTGTTTTACCTGGAATTTTCTAACCCCTACTTTTAGCTTCTCATAGCACACATTTTATGGATTGCTGACTGAAGACTGACATCGAGCAAGGCCCAGGACAACACAGTAGCAGGCCCTTGCCTCTGGCCAGCAGTTGCTTTTTATTGACAGTTCACTTCCAGGCTTCCAGGACACTGGGACACCCAAATGTATTCACTGCCTCCTGCTTTTTACACATGGCCACCAAGTCTGCTCAAGTACAGAACTCTAGGGGGATAGAGCAAAGAGGGTCAGGGACCTTACCTTGTCACCTTTAAATCTTTGAGTACTACCAGGAGTAAGTTTTGCTTCCTGGAAGGATATAAAGTTCATTTTAATCCTCCTGACATGGCTCGAATCCAACCCTGAATAGTAGCTAGTGTAAACTGAGTGTTTACTATATGCCAGACACCGTTCTAAGATCCTGGTTAATTCATTTAATCCTCACAACAGCCCTGTAAGGTAAATACTACTATGATCTATGAGGAAACAGATATAGTATAATCTAATAGGCCATTGTCTGTATTAGCAAAGGATTAGTTTAAAAAGGCTGAGATAAGCTTCTTCTAGTCCATTTACATGCATACACACACGCATACACACACATGCACACACATGCATGTATGCTTGGGAAGTACTAAGCTTTCTTATCTCCTCACTTTCCAGAGGAAGGAAAGTGTTTTGTCTGTCAGAAACATGATAAGATTGTCATATATATAGATATATGTATGTGTGTGCTTATGTGTGCTAAATCATAAATGATTTTATTCTACACACCAAATTGGATTTCCTATATATCTGGTATACTTCAGCAGTTCTCAAACTTTTTGATCTCAGGACACTCTTATACTCTTAAATGTTAATTGAGAATCCCCAGAGAGCATTGGTTTATGTGGATTTTATCTATCAATGTTTACCATATTAGAAATTAAAACTGAGGATGTTTAAAAACATGTACTTATTCATTTTTAAATATAATAATAAACCCGTTACATGTTAATACAAGTATATTTTTATAAAAATGGCTATAATTTCCAAAAAAATTGAGAAGAGTGGCATTATTTTACATTATAATAAATCTCTTTAGCTGGCTTAATAGAAGAACACTGGATTCTCATATCTGCTTTTGCATTCAATCTTACGCAATATCATATGCCCTGTAACCTCTAGAAAACTCCATTGTACACTTATGAGAAAATGAGAGAGAGAAGGCCAAATAATGTGTTTATATTATGATGAAAATAGCTTTAACCTCACGGAGCCCCTTAAAAGGTCTTGGGTATCCCAGCGGTCACCAGATCACATTCTGAGAACTGCTGGTACACCATATTCATCTGTCCATGATTTGTATAGATCCTATTAATAAGAAGTGTAAGGTGTTGAGTGTGGCATTTGAAGCCATACTGCTTGGCTCTGAATCCAGCTCTTCCAATATTAATGACCTGGAGCAAATTACAAGTTTCATTGTCTGTAAAATAGGAGTAATAGCTGTACCTCTCACAGGGTTGTTGTAGGGACTAGTAGAATTGTGTGAAGGTTTAAAATAGTTCCTGAAGAAAGTAGCAGTTTGATAAATATTAGTTGCTCTTGTTATTATGATTACATTTCTAAGAACCTCTTGTACATATGTAAGTCAATCTACATATACAGGCTTGAATGATGCATGTTTTGCCAAGACTTTTGGCTCCACCCCATCTCCATAATGTCATCAGATATCAAGAGTCCTCAAGATTAAATTCCCAGAAATACTAATACTAGGCTCTTCCCCAGATTGGCCACCTCCACCCTGGATGTGCCAAGGACATAATGGTGACCATGAAGTCAGACGTGCCCATCACCCTGAAGAAGATGGGGGTCAAGTGCAAGATCGCCAAGATCATGTTTCAGCTCCCTGCAGACCAGGTCCCTGACTGGGATGACCGCATGCGCACAGTCAAGTGGGTGGACGTGCCCAGAAACACACCTGGGACTTTCACTACAAAACGAAAAGTAAGTAGCGACATCAAGCACAAATCTGACCAGGTCTGCCATGCTTGTATGCCTACTGCTTCCAAGTTCAGGGTCTCACCATTTCCTTCTTTCATGGAAACTAGAAAAGGTCCGCATTCCACTTGATGGAAAACATGACAAACTGAAATTCCGCTCATGCCACGTGTCATCCATGCCACAGGTGTCCCACATACCACTCATCGTAATTGGTAGAACTTCAGTTCAAGAATTGATAACTAATTGAGCAAGTCCTCCCACCTGTTTCTTCTTCAAAACTGTCATGGCTTTTAGTTGTGTTCCTTTTTACCTCATGTGTCCAGAATTAAATTTGTCATAATCTTTGGTTCATGACAGGATCTCATCTTTGGTCCATGAATGCCCCTCTTTTATTTATTCCTTAATTGGTTTCTTTTTAATAATGTAATAAATAGAGAAAACCCACACCCAACATGGGAAGTAAGACATAGACTCTGTCTGGTTCTTGGCCATTTTATCCCCTGCGTCCCCCTTGGGGTAATCACTGCCTTGGACCTTGTGGTATTCATTCCTTTGATTTTTTGTTTTTTATTTCTTTTTTAACCATGTATTCCAAAAGGCATTCTGGTTAGTTGTAGTTTTTAACTTTATTTCTTAAGAAGGTTATCGCTTGTGGTTATCCATATTGTTGCATGTGGCTGTAATGTATCCATTTCACAGCTATATAAAATTCCATTTTTATTTATTCTTTCTTCTTTTGAAAATCATTTGGGATTTTGCTATTATGGACAGTGTTTCTATGAGCATTATTGTTCATATAGCATGGTATTCACTTGCAAGCACTTATATTCCTAGAAGGGGAATTGCTGAGCCATAGGATATGCGAATGTTCAACTTTCCAAGATAATGCCCAAGTGTTTTCCAGAATGACTGTACCAATTTATACTCCTACAGCAAAGAAATCTTATTGATATACATTCTCTCCAATACTTGGCATTGTCAGACTTCCTGATTTTTACCATTTGAATGAATGGGAAATAGGCCTCATTAAGGGCCTAATTTGAATTTCCCTGATCCCTAATAAGGTTCAGTATTTCTTTATATGATTATTGACCATGCAAGTTATCTCTTATGTAAATGCCTTTTGCCCATTTTTCATTTATGATGCTTGTCCTTTGAGTTATTTTATTTTTGATAAATAAACTCTTCTAGTTATATTATTTGTCTGCAAATATTCTCACCAAAGTTGTAGCTTATCTTCTCATGTTCTTTAATGTATCTTTTGATAAACAAAAATGTTCTCAATTTTAATGTAGTCAAACTTATTAATCTCTTCTTTTATATCCATTACTTTTTATTTCTTATTTTTAAAACATTTTTTCCCAGAAAGATATTCACCTATACATTTTTTTAAGTTAAGAGCTTTGCTTTTGATATTTAAGCCCCTGGCCCACCTGGATTTTATGCATGATGTGAGGCAAGAATCCAACTTTATATTTTCATCTAGATAACTAATTTGCCAAATCCCTTTTTTGTTTAGCCCTTCCATTTCCTAAATCTGCAGGATTCCATTGTCACACACCTAAATTCTATATATGCCTAGGATGTTTCTGGTCTCTCTGTTTTATTCCATTGATAATTTGTCTATTCCTGTGGAAGAAAATGAAGGAGAACACATGTTAAAGGACCAAGAAAAATGTGCATTCCTGTACCAATTATAAAACTATAAAGTGCCTTAATTTCTGTAGCTTCATAATCAGCCTTAATATTTGGAAGAGAAGTCCGTCCTCCATACCATTTTGGTCTGAAATGTTTTGTTTATTCTTGGTCCTATATTTCTCTATATAGTTTTGGGATCCATTTAACAAATACTGTAAAAAAAAAAAACCCTAATGGAAACTTGATTGGGTTTGGATTGCATTTATAAGTCAGTTTAAGAAGAATTTAAAATTTTATATTATTAATTTGTCCTTTCCATTAACAAGGCATATATCTCTATTTATTTAGGTCTTCTTTAAGATTTTTGTTACTACTATTAAGTTTCTTTAGTAGTAATAGGACTGGCTCTTCAGGGGACTTTTTAAAGATTTTTTTTTTTTTTTTGTCTTGTCTTTTTCCGTGTCCGGCAACGGATCGCAACCCTCAGTGTTGCCCCCGTACCGGACCGGGGACCGGCAACGGGATTGCAACCCTCGGTGTTGCCCCTGCGCCTCGCTCAGCCAGTGAGCGGGAACTGGTCTGTATGTGGGATCCGAACCCTCGGGCGGGAGTGCCGCCGTGCTTCCCAAGCGGCGCACTTATCCAGTGCGCCACAGGGCCGGCCCTTAAAGATTTTTTTTTTTTTACTACTATTTAGTTTCTTTAATAGTAATAGGACCCTTCAGGGTTTTTTATTTGTCCTTGCATCAATCTTATTAAATTATTATTCTAGTAATTTGCCCTTCAAGTAAGTTTTTATGTGCATTTTTATAAAATTATTTATATTTTCTTATTATCTGTTAAATCTGTAGGGTTGATGGTGATGTCCCCTTTTTATTTCTGATTTTCTCTCTTTTTTCCTTCATCAGTCTCATCAAAGATTTTTAAAATCTTTTCAAATAAACAATTTTGTTGGTCTTCCCCATTTTAGATGTTTTCTATTTTATTAACATCTGTTCCTATCTTTATGATTCTCTTTCTTCTACCTTCTTTGGAGTTCATTTGACTCCGAAACTCATACCAGTGCAGTCGTAAATGCTCTCAGTAATTTCCTCTTATTCAATTTCTTCCTTTTCCATTCTATGAGTCATTGTAGGTTTGCCTTACTCATTTGTTCTGGAACTTGAGTTTGTGGGTTGGTATAAATTTACATGGGTAGAATAAGGTACTGTGCTATCCCGCTATTATTCTGGTGAGGTGGCTGGCTCTGCATCGCTGAGGACACAGCTGCCTTTTTACAGGTGATAGAGACAGATCCTGAACCTGCCCACTCAGTAACAGAAGAAAACCACCGAGAGCTGCAGCTTCAGATCAGCGCCAATGTGGATTTTGCTTCATACCAGTGCCAAACGAGCGACGTGCACTTTAAGGAAACACTGGTTTACCAGACCCGAGTGTTTGAGTGAGTCATCAAAAGCTCTTCGACACTAGTCAGAGAAGCTCTTTCATTTCGTCATTCACTCATTCAGCAAAAATTTATTCACTATCTATGACAGCATATACCAGGCATCCTGTCTGTGTAGCGTGCACCAGGGTATCATCTTAAGACCAATAAAATATTGAGACCCACAGAGCTTTTCAAGTTCACACTTGAAATCAAGATATAGACTAAGAAACACAGTCTACCAGAGTGGCATCAGCAACCCACTTTGGTGGGAATAGTCCTTGCAGCAGTCTACACAGCCAGCTAGGATCTATTCTGTCTATTCTTATTGCCCCACCCAGGTGACAGCTCAGACATTAGTGGGTATGGGTGCATCTTAGCTTAGAAGTCCCATACCCAACAGAAGCCAACATTTCTCATAACCACTCCATAGATATAGTTTCCAGGAACCCTGCAGGTAACAAGCCCAGTTACAAGAGTCACTACACTCAGATAACCCCAAAGCTATGGCTTTCCTCCAGGTAATCACGATTTCTCCCAGTCCACCTGTGATTTACTGGTCAGGGTCATTTTTACTGTAAACAGTGTTGCCTAATAATACAGATGACTTTCTCCTTTATTGGGTTTCCAGGGGAACAAGCTAGAAAGTTAATTAAGAGCCAAATTTGTCTTTGAGAAGAAAAAAGGATTAACCCTTCACCCACACTCAGATGCAGGGACCCAACGATGCCATGGGCCCTATCCTCACAGATTTCGTAGACTGAGAGTTGGGTCAGGGAAATGGATAGAAATGGGTAAATTGTCAGTTGCAGCATGGTGTCCTGTGCATGCAACAAAAGAGTACCTAAAGCAGGTCAAGTTATGGGAGAGACAGCATGTCAGGGAAGGCTTCCCAGAAAAGGTGGTTCCCCAGCTGAATTTTGGAGGACAGACAGAAGGTAACCAGGTGAAGAAGTGAGAATAAAGGCCTTCTAGGCAGAGACAGCAACATATGCAAAGACAAAAATGGAAACCACTGACATTTCTACTTTATAAAAATTAGTAATTAACTCATTTAACTCATTTTGCATTTGTTGAACTTTAAATGTCCTCTCAAATTATTATAGAACCAAAAGATATGTCAGGAAGTGAGATCTTCTGCTGATGGCCTAAAGCAAGGGTCAGCAGACTGTGGCCTGTGGCCTGTGGCCTGTGGCCTATTCTTGTAAACAAAGTTTTGCTGGCACACAGCCGTGCCCATTCACTTATGTATTGCCTATGGCTGCTTCCGCACGGTGAAAGCAGAGCTGAGTAGTTGCAGCAGAGACTGTATGGCACACAAAGCCAAAAACACTTACCATCTGGCCCTTTACAAAAATATCTGCCAACCCCTGACCTCAACCAAGAACTCTTTTTAGGAAAAGTACTCTGTGCCATGGAGATTTCTCCACTTTATAAAAATTATCTTTAGGATAAGTACCAGGGCTCATAAATTCACACGGTAAACACAAGGCCCTGTGGTCAAAACACTTGATTTCAAGCATACCTGCATGGTCTACCTGGGTTGAATCATGGAAATCTAATCTCTATATTCCACCCTCCATCTACTCCCCACCCACATTCCTGACTCTTACTACGCCCCTATTTCTCTGACACCATCATTTCCTTGTATCAAGACCTCATCTTCCTGCTATGACTGTGATCAAGTTTTTTGGTTTGGGGGTTTTTTTGTTTTGTTTTGTTTTTCCGGTGCTGGCCACTGTCCTCAAGTTTAATAGTGATTCCAGGGAAAACGTCTGTCTCCCTGTTCTTGTCTTAGCAGGGAAACTTGAGGCAAGAGAAGCCTCTGCTGATTCAGAATTTGAAATCAAAGCAACTAAAATCTGTGTCTCAATCCGGAAGGTGCCACAGGCAGAGGGCAAATGGCTTCTGATGACAAGGACATTGTTTCTGGTGGGAGGTGATTCAGGAAGAGAGGGCCTGTGGAATTTACTCCCAAGAGAGGTGCTGTCATGTGAAATAGATTTTGTTTCCTCCGTCATGGGAATTTTTCAGGATTACCATGATACATGCTGAGAGCTCATTGCATAGGGTGTTGGTAGTATGCAAAATGATTTTCAGTGCTAAACATCTGGATATTTTTACTTTTAATAGCTATGTATATATTTTATGTGTTTTAGAAGGATATATAACTAGTATATCAAATGTACGATTTCAGTTAAAATTGCTTCAAACTTGCCCTTTAGAAATATTTAAGAAATAAAGTGACTTGGCTTAAAGAAAAATGTTAAATAACAGTACAGATAATAGGCAGACAGGACAAAAATCACTGGCAGTACATTTCTCACATCTGTTCCCCGATCGATTTGCAGGCTTGACCTGATTAATTCAGGCCATGTGCAGCTGGAGTTCAGCTGGATCTCAGAAGATACTGGAAAGGTCGTCAGCTTTGCAATGCCAGAAAACCTAGGTAAGTGAGATGACAGATAAGACCCAGGGTTTGCTCTGAGTCACCAGTGAGTAGAAGAAACTTGCTTGAGAAGCCAGCACTGCTCAGACAGCTTCCCACATGACTAAGAAAAAGTACAGCAGAGATGTCGTGGTGTCTGCAGAGCCGAATGGGCCTGAGAGACTCAGGAGCTAACCTCTGCCCTCCTGGAGTCTGGGCTCTGGCCCCCCACAGGTCTCTAGGAATCTTGTCTTTTAAGTCTTAACCGTCTGAGAGATTACAGACCCCTTGGAGAAACTAATGAAAGCTATGAATCGTTTTCCCAAGAAAATATACACCCATAAACAAGTTTGCAGTTGATACATATGAAGCACTAGAAAAGGGTCCAACACTTGATAGGCAAATAT